ACATCTGGTGAAAATTTCATGTCATTAGCACCTCTAGTAATATATTTACTGAGAAAAATGGTGACGTGTTCAATACTTATTTTACCCACTGTAAGGTTGTTTCTTTTTTTAACAACAAAATTAATGCTCCTATGAATGATTGTAAATGACATGAAGCACTGTTGTGATGATGTGCTGAAGTGGGAGTGTCAGAAACAGTAGGAGGTTCTTAAAGAGCCACAGTATTCAAGGCATACAACCATGATGTGAATTCAGATTTATTTACAGCATTTACAACAACTGAAGATGATATAGTTACTTAATTGTGGTGTAGAATTCAACTATTATTTATTCATTTATTTATTTACTGTTATTTTACCAGGCAAGTCCCACTGAGATCTGAGATCTCTTTTTCAAGGGAGGCCTGAAGGCAACCTATTGTACATGTTTTTTGGGGGTGGGGGAAACCGGAGTACCCGGAGAAAACCCACACAAGCACGAGGAGAACATGCAAACTCCGCACAGAAAGACCCCAGGTCCGAACGGGGGATCGAACCCAGGACCTTCTTGCTGTGAGGCGTCGGTGCTGACCACTGAGCYGTYGTGCCKCCTATGTGCTTTTAATTTACTGARTGAGTCTAATGCAGGGGTGCCCAAACATTTTCCCCGAGAGGGCCAAAATGAAAATCTATCTGGAGCTGCGGGCCAAATGTGACAATATAATACATGTAATACAAATACTTTTTAATTAAAGTCCAGTGTTTTTAATGGTTAAGCTAGCAACCAGTGCGGTGGCCCACTTTTGTTTTAGTCTGTGCACTTGGAGAAAGTCTGCCGTACTCTCAAGYWGCAAAGGCTCATGGGACGTTTCATAAATTGATAAAATATGAGTTTTTGTGGCSTTATAAAGTGTACAAATCTAYATGTGTGGTTAAATCTAAGCTAAATATCTCTTGTTGTTCCATGTATTTCATGTTTGATGTTTAATCCTAATATATCAAAGATAAAGTCAACCCCATGAGTGAAAACTCTACAGCCTCTTATGCTCACTGRAACAATGGATAAATAATGACTTTAGGTGGAAATACTGTTATTTCAACTTCAAATAACTATTTATCCTAAAAGGGCAATTCAGTTCACAGCTCTCTGGTCAACATGATACGACATCATGACAGCAATGCATTCTCATACAGTCTTATATAATCATTTCAGCAACAGGAAAGAAAAAAACTGCTTGTGTAYAATAAGAAATGTTTACTTTCTACATAGTACAACAGGTTACAACCTACTAACTAAGGCAGCTGCTAGTGGGCCAAATCAAATGGCTTGGAGGGCCAAATTTGGCCCCACTTTGGGCTCCTCTGGTCTAATGGATTTTTTTTGTAAGGTTTATATTTACACTGTTTTACGTATTCAACAAGACTGACAAAAAGCACTTGTTCATAGCACAGGATTTATTTTGGTTTTACTGAAATATCTATTATAGTGAGAAGTTAAATATATGAAAATGCCTATGAATGTATAAATATTTACCAAGGGAATTAAATTAAACTTAATTTATGAAATAAAATAAAATAAAATGAGCTCGGCGATATTTTTGACCAAGTGCTCTGATTTCAACATTACGTTTTGCTTGAAAGAAATAAAAATGTGTAGATGTTATTTATTTTTATTCAGTGAACATCTCTGTACGTTTCTTCAACAGGTGGTTGTTTTTGAGTGCAGCTCAGGTTAAGCACATCTCTGCAGTGCTTTGAATTAACGAGGTTCACATGACAACAAGGAGGGGCTGGAGTGATGAAGAGAGCAGAGAAAATGAGTCTTGTTGCCCAGAATTTATTACACTGATGAGCTTCCAAACAAATATCCATCCAGAAGTCGGTGCAGGTGGTGCTTTGGTATGGATACAGTATTTTCTGAGTAATGTGGACACTAATAGCCTCTTGAGGCTTTGGTGAACGGATCTGTATTAAATGAAGGTAAACAAAGATAAGGACGGTCGCCTGCAGTTTTTTTTAAATATCTTTTTTACGTAAGAAGAAAGTGGYTGGAGGCTGCAATCCAAACGGCTCACTTAAAGTGTGACCTTTTGTTTTAAGTCCCTTTTTAATTGTCCAAAGTGTCTTTTGTTCTCTGCACTTAATAAGCGCCTCTCCTTGATTTTTTTCCTCTTTTTTTCTTTTTGTGGATGAAAATGTCATCCTCATCTCCAATCTGTCTTTATTATTCACCTGCATCAAAGTGCAGAAGAAATATGTCATTTTTCCTGGATTCAAACTGACCTGCAGAGTCATGATTCATCGATGACATTCAGCAAATTCATCCGACTTTTCATAAAGAACCTGTGCATGCATGTCAGCATTTCATGAAATATAAAACACACTAATCAATTTATGAAAAATCCTCTAACAGTTCACACTAATAAAGACATTTTAGAACATTTAGAGGGACAAATCTTTGTTCTGTGAAGTCAGTATAAGCTAATAAAACACTTGATAATTACATGTAATTAAGCTGCAGGTAGAAGCGACACCCACACCCTTCAATTAACACAGGAGTCCTGTGAGCACCATGAAAACTACAGCATATSATTTGACATGTTTTTTTGCACTAATTGCCTTCTTTAGTGGCCTCCTGTGTGCTGCTGTGCAGAAATACCTGCAAATAACATTCTTTCTGAGTCATTTCTTTGTCTTTCGTTTCCCTTTATCAGAAAATTAGAGGAAAGGCAGCGGAACCTGAAACACATAGATCCATTATTCACAAAAAATCATTCTCCAATCCATGCACAAACTTGATATTTATAAAGTAGATAAAGTAGTGCTGGGYRGTATAYCGTTTTGTACCRGAAACCRGTTTTTATTTTTGTTATGATATGACTTTTCTGAATACCGGACATACCGGTGTAAATAGCCTGAACACGTGCGGAACGTTTCGTCGCGGCTGCCAGTGAACTGTTTCCCTGGGGACACGTTTCCTCGTAACACCGCTAAGCGCATTAGCATGCTAACATTATTGTTGGAACAACCGGTGGCGGGTGGTGTGTTTCAGCCGCTTATATGGTCGGACGTAAAAAAAACATCCCGTTTTCACCATCGCTGAATAGTAAACAACTCTTCAGTGCCRTGCACGGTTAAATTTAACGCGCTACGTTATAATGGAGACGTTACTGCATGGAGACTCTAGCGTGCTTCTATTGTGAAAAGCCCAGGGGGGAGTAGTTTTGTAGTGTGGCTGAGTTGAGTGGTGTGCAAGGTGAGTTGTCCTTTTAAGTTTTATGAACACACAAYGATAGACCAGATAATGATCTTTTCTCAACCCTTCATGATCAGACCTAAATGCATGATTACTGTCTACAACCAGGCAAAGAAGAAAAGATGTACAAGAGGAGGGAAACAGTGATAAAAGAAAAAAGTCAATAAGCAAAGTTTGTACATTTTATTATCAGCTGAGCTGTGAGGAAAAAAATACCGTCAAATACCGTGAAACTGGTGTAATTGTTGAAAATACCGTGATATAAAATTTGGGTCATACCGCCCAGCTCTAAGATAAAGTTACAATAGTTCAGAACTGAAAAGCCTGTTTTATTCCTAAAACAACAAAGTGTTCTACTGTGAAATAATGCAAGCTGCAAAATTCACAGAGACATAAAATGCATTTCATAAAAGAAGGGGAAAAATTAATGAAAATTTGTTTTTTTAAGGGCAAATCAAATAAAATGCTAAGGGTAAAAAAAAATTCCATTTACTTTTTAAAAAATATAATATTTTAAACATATCTGCGTTAAACAAAATGAAAGTTGGCATTTATTAGTTTGATAGCAGCTGGTGAAACATCATTCACTGTTAGAGACGAGCTGTTCAGATAATTTCAGGATGGCTTCTTTTATCATAACTCTTTACTTTCAAATGGAAATTTGATCCGTAGTTTCACAACATCACCTCCCCAGGTAGACTGTTTGCAGTCAGCAAAAGGTCTTGCATTCTGAGTCAGGTGAAGCTTAAATAATAGTTTGCTGGTGAAGCGCTCTTATCCTTTTATCTGTTCTTTTAAAGCATCACAAGCTGCTCCTCATGTGTCGAACCGTCCCATCAATCAGCCTTGAATCCTTTTAGTTCCTTGTCAAACGGCAGGAAGTGCCCACTTTACATTGTGACAAAGTGCTGCCTTTTGTGTATGATGAATTATTCAGGGGTAAAAATCAAAAGGATGCTGTCTCTGACACGAGGTAACTTAAAAGGACTTATCAGCTGGAGTGAATCCTGCTCAAAATTGTAAATTGGATTAGTTTAGTGATTGCTGTGAGATTCTGATGCACAGAGGTTTTTACCATAAGAATAAAATACTGACTAAAAAGTTCAATAAAAGGTTGATCATTAGTTATCTGAGGAAACTTCTGTTTTATGAGTTCAAGATCAGAATTAAAGTGCCTGCAACTTATTTTACTTAGTTAAACTGTTACTGTTTGATCACTGCATGTTTTCTCTGAAAAGAAAAGTTAATATGTAAAAGTTGAATTGCCATTTTTTTCTGTAAGGGACAGGGGTGGGGTTGGGGGGGGGCAACTAAATAAGACAAAATTTCAAAGGCCTATCAAACCTTATGGCACATGACAAACTCAAGGCCCATGGGCCGAATCTGGCCTGCCACAGCATTTTATTTGGCCCCCAAGCACGTCTTAAAATAAGCGCATCCTGCTTTAAAGCCAGCATTGATGATAAACTACATTACCCATAATGCATGTAAATTATTTCACTTGCAAAATAGCGGCTTCCCACCATTGGGTGGAGGTGCACAGGGTAGTGGGAATGCAGTCATTTTGCGAGTCAAATATTTAATCATTTTGGGAGATGTAGGCGACTTTGCTGCTGCCCAGCATGGGACGTGGGAATTTCCTACTTACAAGTCTAAATTCAAGTTAGAATGTCCTTCTAGTGGGAATTCCCTGTTGGAAAGTGGGAGTATTCAGAATTTGAGATGGCAGCTACTCACCACAGCTCAAAAGTGAGTAAAACTCTCTTACTCTATTATTTATTACACCTTTAGTCAGTCGTACTCATAGAGGACGTGTAAAACGCTGTTTCTGTGCAGGAAAAACCACGTAGAACTCAGTTATTTTTCATTAGCAGTGAGACAAGGAGCATGACATTTCAGGTTTAGTCAAAGTTAAACACAAAAGTCAATGTTTATTACAGCTGGCCCTTTAGTTTCATAGAGCAGAGGGTCCCAGGACCCACAGGGGCTCCATGGTTTTCTGTTTGCTGAGCTTGCATAATTGTGGCGGCCATCTTGAATTAAAACTCTCTCCAAAAAGATCATTTGCTTTAGCTGTGCATTTAATGATTACTTTCTGGGAATTTCAGTAAAATCCATCCAGACATATTCTCAGCCAAGACAAAAACATTATCGCCCTCCTCCCTGCAGCAGACATCGATTTGACAAAATCCATGCAGAAGTTAATTAACTGCTGCCTGTGTAAACAAGCAACAGCTTGCTAATGAAGGTGTCCGCTGAAAAGCAGATGGTATATTAAATATGCATAACCGTCCAAAAATATCTGATGATAAATTTGACTTTTGCTCAGAAAACCATTAAAGACTAAGCTAAGTCGGTGTGTGACGACCCTGTGATGGATGAGCCACTGTTTTAGTTTGTAACGTCTCGTGAGGTTCTGAGTTATCGTGTGTTCTTTCACACCATTTGTTCATCCTGAGGCCAACGCCAGCTCAAAGAGCCGTTTATCAAACATTTTGTCTTTAACAAAACACTTGGGCTGGGCTCTGAATAAAAGATAGGAACACTGATACTGTGCCTAATGATCCACGACCCCCATAAAAGTAAAGCGAGCATTATTTCATCCTTAGTGTTCGCCATGTTTTATGAATGTTTCTCTGGATTCGAGTACGTCTCCTGGCCATCCTAACTCCTCAGCTGYGTCTGAAGACGGCGAGAACGAGAGWGGATTTTAGGAGAAATCAGTCCGCTTTATTCACGAGATCCAACCGCCTTCTGTTAGCCGCCTGTTTCTTTGAWTCCTCGTTTGTACGGAGAAGAACAGGCTGTTCATGAAGAGCAGACTGTTGATCCTCTCATCTGTTCTGGGRATTTATTTACATCATGACTTGGTTTGAAGCAGCCACAAAACAAGACAGGCACAAACTGCAGAAAGTTAGAAAAAAAAACATTAACACACCTGAACCTTTCTTCTGAACTTTTATCCCAAAGGAACCAGGAAGCAGGCAGGCTGACCTTTCAAACCCTGAACAACCTTTTATTTCTTTCTTTTTTTAGCAGCAGCTTCTTTTCACTCTTACACCAAAAAGCACCAAAAACATTTTCATTTCAGCGTGTATTATTCTGCTGTTTCACTCCGTGTTAAACTAAACTTACCACAACAAGTAAGGAAATTTGTGTTTATTTCTTTGTTTTAACAATGCTTCTTGGCAATAAATGCAATAAATGGTGCCACATTTGTGGGGTGAGCAGCAGAGCTGAGTATGATAATGATGATTAGATGATTGAAGTTTGAAGAAACAAGAAATATTAGCAATTTATATTCATTTAAATAAGAGATGCCTCAGTGGCGTGTGGAAGAACCATACACAGCCACAACAGCCTGGCTCCTCCTCCTCATGCTGATCTACTCACCACAAATTTCTTTACTTTTGTGCTAAATTTAATAAATCTATTCCATAAACAAACACGTTGCCACATTAAGTTTTTTTTATTTAAGCTCTTTTATCTTGTGTCAGACATTAAAAGCAAAGAAATCACTTTTTTCTTTTATTTACCTTTGAAGACGTGAGACTTATTTGTTGAAATCAAGTTGTTTCAGTTGTTCCTCAGTGAAAAGTTTGTCAGATCAGTGTGCTGTCCCACAGCGCCACCATGTGGCTGATTGTTATTACTGCCATTGACTTGAATCCTAACAGTTTATACGTATGCATCGCTTATAAGACCAACACAGATATCAGTAACAAAAAAAAAAAAAATATATATATATATATATATATATATATATATTAAAAAATTAAAAAAAACTTTTTTTAATAATGTGGAATTAGTATATTATAGGCACAAATCCCTCCTACAGCAGCTGAGTGGTACAAGTTTTAGAACAGATGATGTTTGTTGAACAGTTTCCAAAATTTCTAATCTTTTTTTTGTCACTTCAGTAGAAAATGTAGAAAGAACAAAATTTCTGACCCTCATCCTTTCTCTTAGTGGTTCCGCTCCAATAATCTTACATCATGTTTTTCGTTAATGAAGTAGTTATTTTTCTCAAGCTGCAATAATGTAATAAAGTGACTCAGTCATGTAATAAGTCTTTATAGAGCTTTGGTGCATCTCAGTGCAAAAAACATGGCACAAAATCACAAAAATGTGAACAATATTTTCAAAATTTGACCAAAACGGCTTTAATTTTGTCATTTTTTWAAAAATGATAAGACTATTTTAGTTTGAAATTTATGTATGCCAAGTGTAAAAATGAAATTTTAAAAATTGTCACTAACCTATTTTTATTATTTAGCTCGTTTAGCGAGTGTTTAGCCTAATCCAGCTTTTTGATTTTCTCTTATTGACAAGTGAAAATTTACAGCAATATTTGTTCTGTCTGGAGCTAGTTTATACTGAACAATAAGTCCCATAAAGATCTATGATATAAACCTAAACAATGCCCATTTATATTCCACAACCTTTTCTTCACATCTTGATCATCTTGGGTTTGAGAGTGAATCCTCTTAAAGGTGGATTACTGGACTAGGATGTTGACGCTGCCAGAGAACAGGGAAGACTGTGACTCAGAGAGCAGGTCTGCAGGAGATGCAGACGAGAGTAAGAAAATGGAGAGAAGCTCTCCGCTTTGGAGAGAGGTGGAAGATGGGTGCGTAGCTGMGGTGAGTACTGAACATTGGTCAGAAAACCTGTTGGTTGGTGCTTTTACATGTGTTGCAAACTTCAAACCTTTACATAATAAGCWGTATTTAATAGCAATAGTTTTTCTCTCCTGTTTGTTGCAGAGCTCGAAACGATGGACCACCACCCTTCATCCTCCCACCCTCACTGAGAAGACGAGGGCAGACTAACCCTCTGGGACAGCAATGGTTTCCCTCACCTTATCCAACCCCTTCAGCTGGAACGTGACCTCTGCCCTCTGCGTCTTCGTCTTGTTGCTCCCAGAGGTCGCGGCCGACAACCTGAACACTTCGGCCACCCGTGTGGGTGGAGGGGCACAGTGTGGGGAGTACACAAACCAGGTACTTCTGCTGCAGTCATCAGATATGTTCCTGATTAGCATTAGCATCGTGTTTGCAGTGCTGTAGTCCTGATCACAATAAAATAAAATAAAATAAAATAAAACAAAAAAGAGTCCAAAATATTTGGTCTGAATCCCATTATTTTAGGTTATTCTAACCAGGGCCGGCCCTAACTAATCTGGTGCCCTGGGCAAGATTTCAGGTGCCCCCCTTTCTAAATCTCACTGCCGGCTTTCATAAATTCATTTGCCAATTTAAATTGTTCTGTATGATATGATATCTTATCTTTAGAAACCAAGTTGTCCAATTAAAATAGTTACCAATATACGGAAATTCCTTCTGGTACAATTTACTCAAAACGATGCCACTTCCAGCCATTTGAAGACATCAAAAAATCCGTAATGAATGAAGGTAGGACAATGGAAACCACTTTAACCTGAACTTTATCTGAGATCAGAACCGAAACGTCCGTTATTCTTATTTTGTTTTTTTTTTATTTACACACTGAGCATCAGTAGTTAGTGTTGACTGCATCATATGATACTTTTATCATAAGATATCTGCAGCAAATGACATCTTAAGGTAAGCAGCTGAGAAACCCACAGAACAAGTTAGCTTCATTAACTTGAGTAACCAGTGGTTATAATCATATATTCTTTTCACAAATGGAAGTTTAACAGCTCATAAAAGAGAGCCAGCAGGGGGAAAGTTAGATTTAAAGACTAGACCAAACAGTAGAGGGCAAGTTGTATTTTCTATTTTGTAGTTTTTCTGTCGTTAAATATCTCAAACTAGTTTTTTGTTACAAACTCATGGTGCTCAGTGTGTAACATGATCTCATATTATTCACCTCAAAGCCTAGTTGTATACTACATTTCAATTAACATATGACAATTTTATGTTTTAATTAATCCTAAATATTTATAAAAAATCACTTTAAAGGGCTAGAAAATGCAGTTTTAAGTGGACTTTTTTTTTCTCTGGGGGGTATACATCTGGACCCTCCTAGGATCACTTCGTACAACTAGAGCGCTAATACAGTTAGGTGTCCCTTGTTACTCAGCAAATGTTGGCAGGTGTGTAAATGTTTGTCGTAATCATATCATGTGATTTATTTGACAAGGTCTTTGCTTTCTTTCATTTATAATGCAAATGAAATACAAATAAAACCAAGATTTAAACCAATCAGCAGCGTGAAGATTATCTTGCAATATGTCATTAATGTTATCTTTCTAAAAATACATTCAAATTTATTACATAAAAATTGGACGTCACGGGCACTTTTAAATAAATTACTACAGATCCTCACTAACATCTTTTCAAAAAAAGTTTATTACCGTAATTTGTTTGTTTGCTATCATTTTATTTTGATTTTGAGGCTGTCACACCCAACATTATCTCAATATCTGTAAAACTGAAGGAGTTATTGACATCTTTGTGATTGCTTACTTTGAATAGCTCTGGCAGYCATTTTTAAACAAGTAGACTCCAAAAGTCAATCAGTTAAAGGTGTGCAACACGATTCATTCCTGAATGTTTCTGGTTCATTAGATATTTTGCTAACAGATAAACAAATTGAAATTTGCACACAATTATATGTCTATATGAGTTATTTCCAAACAAGATTCTGCTGTTAAACTGTGATTGGTTGTATACAGTATATACAGTATATACAGTACATTATGTATCTATAGTGAGGTTTCTCTTTAACTAAATCATTTCCAGCTCATGGAGGACGGCATGTGTCGCCTCATGGCCACCCTGCCTCAGATGGACGAGCGACGATGTCCGGATTTGTTTCGCTGCACGGACGAGGTCTCCTACTGGCTGCGCGAGAACCGAGACAGGAAGCAGCAGATCGTGGCTCTGAAGGAGACCATCTCTGAGCTGCAGGAGGAACTCAGGAACCACCGGCATCGCATCAAAGTCCTGGAGCTGCAGGTGACTGAGGGCAGATGTGGACCCCCACTTCAACYGCTTTTTCTTCTTTATTTTTAGTTTGTTGATTCATGACAGGGCGCTTTAAGGATTTGTCATGACATGTATCATTTTAAAAATGCTTTGACCTTTCATGTGAAATATTATTTTTTTATTTTTCACCAACCCAAACTAGCCTTTCTTGTTTGAACCACACTCCTACTTGGTGATAAAGCTGGCTTCCATCCGAGCGTGTCCTTGACCTGAGTCACTAACAGGATTAGCCTCCTACTCCTCCATGTGTTGCCACGTGTGTCTCAGGTGATGAGCTTAAACAAAGAGACTCTCAGCTGGATCAGCCAGGGCTGCATGGTCGAGGTGGGCGGCTCTAGGGCAAGGGGGCGGAGCTAGACTTTATTGCAATGGGTGGCACGGGGGGGTGGCCAAGGTGTTTTTTTTAAGGGGCGGACATACAAATAAAAAAAAAACTACTATGGATCTGAATATTCAAGATGGCCGCCGCTGCTAATTTCAAATGGATTCAACTCATGCGATTTGACATTAAGCTGATGTTTGTTGGTGTGAGCTGCAATCACCAACACAATATCACAGTCTCATCATAAATTTAAAATGGCAGATATACTGTATGGCAGTACCCGTCAATGTTTCATAAAAAAAAAACACTCATAGTAGCTCCATTCTATTGCCTAATTTATATTAACTGGTTCTTAAACCCAGAACTATTGCACATGTTTGTTTTCTGTTAATTCAGCAGTTCAGAAAAGTTTTTTTTCTTCTTACTTTACTCTTATAGATTCCCTTCACACCAGACAACACAGCTGCCTGACAGATAGTTATGCTCTAACGGCAGGGGCGGAGCCAGGGGGGTGGCCAGGGGTGGCCATGACCACCAKAGACAAATCTTTGGCCACCCCATTGGCCACCCTGAAGTACACACCCCTTCCACAGTGAAACAACCTTTAGGGGTGTAATAATCCTCCTGAACAGTTGGTGGCAGTGTTTAACAGTTTGAAACATCACCAAACTCTATCTCTGAAGAAGAGTAATGACAAGGAAGTGATGATTTTCTTTATATACAGAACCTATGCCTGTAATCTGACTTGTGGTGTCAACTTTTGGATTTATGGTGACAAACATTTTTTTTGTCACAATAATAAGAGTGTTATTTTATGCTATGAAGGCTGGATGATGCTCTGTGTTTATTATGAGTAGACCTATCACTAAATCAGATCAAGTGAAACACCCCTCTAAATTCATTGGGTRAATTTTATAATGTTAGTTTTAAACAYGCAGTTGAGGGTCATCATTATTTKGCACAATGGCATGTGTTACAATTAAAAATAAATCAATAAACAATATAAAAATAAAAAGCACCCCTAAAGTCATTGGGTATGATGAATTGTGTCACATTAATTAATCTTATTTCAGATATAGCAGTGAGTTTAAAAACAGGATGATGGAACTAGTTTAATGAAAAATCTGTCTCTGAAATAATTAAATCAARTGTTAATTTAAGTAGGTAAAAGTATGTTTAACAACCTGGTAAAATACACTGGAATGCAGGAAATGGCATCTACTTTGTCCAAAATTTTCTGGGGGAGGACCCCCAGACCCCCCAACAGTGTGTTCCCCCACTTTTAAAATGGTTCTGATGTCTATGTTTATAAGGTGGTCACTGCCTGTACAAAGACATAAGGAAATGACCAAAACACAAAGATCTGCAGATAAACTTTCAAGTAAAAAAATCATGTAATGTTCCTGGCCACCCCTGTGTGAGTAGTGGTCCCAGTCCGGCCACCACTGAGAAAAATGTCTGGCTCCGCCACTGTCTAACGGTCCATCTTTAAAATACTACGCGATTCCCATCCCAGTAGTCAATAATTCAGGGGTGACACCTGGGGTGGCTAGTCAGGTGCCAACGGTAGCTCTGCCCCTGCTCTRGGGTTTGTTATGATGTGGGTAAAGTATAAAGTTATCCTACATGTTGACACATAGCATGGATCAAAAAAATTTAGTGTTTGGCCTGGTTTTTAGATTAAAAAAACAATATTTTCCGAGTGATAAAAGGAAYTTGAAATTCACTTTCAATATTAAGTATATTGTCTCAGTGGGGAAATGAATTCTCTGCATTTTTACCATCGCACATGTGGTGCAGAAGAGGCTCCACTTAGGGGTCCAGAGTGAGGCAAGGAAGAGTTTACCACCCACTTTTAAAAAAATACTTCCAATCATCTTCTCAATACAGAGAAGACAAGGTTCATCTACAACCCTACCGCAATACACTGTGTATAACAGAATGCAGTGATTTATAAATCTTATTAACTCCTGTTTTATTTGCTGTAAAATATTAAACATAACAGTTTAAATTAYGAAATTGTGCCATTTCTAGGCAAAAATAAGAAATTCAGAATTTGATGGCTGCAACTTGTCTTAAAGAAATCCCTTTATATGGCACAACTTCTTACTTTAAAACATGGAGATTATGTTTTATTGTGAATAAACAATGGGTTTATGATATTTGGTTTTAATTTATATTTTACACCATGTGCAATCTTTTTAATAGCCGTTTTATTTGCATATTTAAACTCACAAATTTACGTAATTAATACATGCAGTCTTGATGTGGTTAATCAGCTTACGTACCTGCAGTGTCTCCTAACTAAAGCGTACCCTTTAAATGTTTTCCTGTGTTTGTATTTGAACACACTCCATCAGAGTGAAGAGAAGGCCCACCTGAACCTGTCTCTGGAGCTGCGTTTCCATGAGCTGGAGGTCCACTACACTGAAGCCACCTCCCTGCTGCATCTACAAGGAACACTGATCCTGGACCTGCAGGTGTGCATCTTTTCTCACACTATGATTGAGCTATTTTTAATGGTTTCAGATTGTTTCTAATCATTCAAATCATTTCTTTCTAATGTCTAGAAACAACTACACAATCTGACTCTTTCAGTGGATAAAGTGAACCGAAGCCCCGGGTGTTCAGTCAGTATCGTCCGTCCCAATCCCCTACTGAACACCCAACAAGCCATGCACCCAGGTACCTGATCGTGCACCAGTCACCAGAGGGAGACACACACTTGATTTTTGTTGTTGTGTGAATGATTTCATAGCATTCACACAATTGAGATCATTTTTTTCTTCCGTACATTTTTTTTGCCATCTTACTCGTTCCACAATTTTTGTGTTAATTCAACAATTCATATATGAAAATGTTCAACTCATTTATACCAAGTGAGCTAAGAATTTTGGCATTTCAGCTGTTTTATACTTTTTCAGCTATTTCACTTTTTCGGATACTTCTTTCCCCATTGAAAATGAATGGAGCTGTTTCCATCATCCTTAAAACCCTTTAAATAGTTTCTAAATCTTCACAGCACCTTACACTTTTGTTCTGGTTCTGCTCTTTTTCACTTGTGCTAATTTTAGCTACTTTGTTTGCTAATWGTAGCTTTTTTCTGCTATTTCAGCTAAAATTCTGATTGCTATTCTGCTTTTTTCTACTTTCTTGTACTGTTTTCTGCTACTTTGTGCTATTTATTATGCTTCTGTAATTTCCCCTGGTATCACAATGTATCATTCTTTCATTCATTCATGCTTTTTTTATATTCAGCTATTGTCTGCAATTTTAGCTAAAGTTCAGCTGTAATTAGCTAAAGTTAGCTGTTTTAAGCCAAATAAAGTTTTGGTAGCTATTACAACTTATTTCTGCTAAGTTTAGCAAGCATGTGCTCCTTGTGCTTTTTATGCCAATTAAAAAAAATTCTAGCAACGTTTTAGCTATTTTACTACAAATTGACACTTTTTTGTACTTTTATGCATTTTTTTCAGCAAATTAATATTTTTTACACAACTTTCTCTATCTGGGTGTTAATTACAACTTGTGGCTGCCTTTAGCTTATTTTTATGCTAATTCTAGCTTTTTTATTATTTTTAAGCTTTAGATCTGCTTCTTATGGAAGCCCATTTCTGCCACCCTGATAAAAAAATAAAACTTGTATCTCATAATTATGACTTAGCATCTCATAATTATGACTTAGCATCTCATAATTATGACTTAGCTATCTCATGAGATACCTAAGTCATAATTATGAGATACAAGTTTTATTTATTTTTTTTATCAGGGTGGCGTAAATGGGCTTCCATAGATCCTTTCTGCTATACTTCTGTTTTCTACGTTGTTTTATCCTGCTAATTTGTGCTATTTATGCTTCTTACAGATGCTTTCAGCCATGTTCAGCTATTTTAGCTTTTTTCTGTTGTTTTCAACTAGATTTGTGTTTCTTTTTATTGTTTTTCTGCAAAGTTGGGCCTTTTTTTTTTGCTTTCAGTTTTTTAAAGTGAGCTCACATTAACAATTTTGCTATTAAATATTTTCCGCTCAATTTCAGCAGCTTTCAGCTTAAGTTTTCAGCACGAAGCATTTGCACGAGCAGTTTATTCACCGAGTCTTGTCCCACACAATTTGCCCCCAGAGATCAAGCACGTGGGGAACTGCCCCATGGACTGTGCCTCCATCTATCAGCACGGGGTGAGGAGGTCAGGTCTCTACACTGTGGTGCCGTTACTGGCGGGCATGCCTGTGGAGGTTTACTGTGACATGGATACAGATGGTGAGTCCCAGATTTGGAACGTGATACGACTTATTACCAAAAAAGTGTGGAAAAAATGAGTCTCATTCTAATTAAAACACTGCTCGTTCTTCGAAATGTACTTCATTTCCTCAAGAATTTGGGTGAATTGTCCAGTTTTTTCTCTGCATTATGGCTTTGCTCACAAAAAGTACCTTCATGATCTGCTTCTTTGTTCCAGRATTTTATACTTTTTATTTTATTTATTTATTTATTTTTGCCTTCAGGTGGTGGCTGGAGCGTGATCCAACGGCGACTTGAYGGCTCAGTGAGCTTTGACCGCAACTGGAGGGATTACAAGGCTGGATTTGGCGACTTGCACTCCGAGTTCTGGTTGGGCAACAACCACATCCACGACCTGACCATCCAGGGAGATTACAGCCTCCGAATAGACCTGGAGGACTGGAGCAACCAGCACAGACACGCCCTCTACCAGAGCTTCAGGTCAAACGCCGTACACTTACCAGACCTGGTGATTACAAAAGAGCTTTTTAAAAATTTTTTCATTAACTGCTCGATGTGTGTGCAGTGTGGACGGTGAGGAGCATCAGTACCGTCTTCATGTGTCGGGCTTCAGCGGCACTGTGCAGGACTCCTTCAGCTGGTACCACGACAAGCAGGGCTTCAGTACGCCGGACAGCGGCAACATCTGTGCTGAGATCTCACACGGGGGCTGGTGGTACAACCAATGCTTCTACGCCAACCTTAATGGAGTCTACTACAGAGTAAGGATGAGGAGAAATCCTCTCGTTTCCTTATTTGTAACAAAATTTAATATATATTTTTTTAATTCTACAGGGAGGCCATTATACCCCAAAAGGAAGAGGCCCACTGGGTCCCGACGGGATCGTGTGGTACTCCTGGAAAGACTCTGATTACTACTCTTTACGCAAAGTCAGCATGATGATCCGACCGCGCAGCTTCCACACACGATCGTCACCCTGAAAACGGTGCGGACACAGGAGCTAGCATCCCTCGCAGCAGTGAGGAGACCGGCACGAGCCCACTGCTGAGCAAAGCCAGAGGCTATTTCTCCCACTGGATCTACAGAATAATGACGACAGGGGACTTTGCTTTGTGGAAATTTAGAAACTGAACTATTGTTCTGCTCTTTTTAAGATTCAAGTTCACATATTTTTGGTGCCTCTTTCAGACGTTGCAAATTGGCACTTGGAAAAGAGGAGAAACTGGTCTAGATGGTCAGAAAACAGGACTGGAATGAATCTATTACAGTGTAAAATATAACATGGACAAAGAAACCTCTGTTCAGGATCAGATCAAACATATTTTATACCCTCAATCTAAGGAGACAATAAACAGTTGTGGATAAAATCTCCTCCAAAGCTCTGTAGACTGTGCCTACTGTAGAGTCTGCCAGGAGACCTACAAACTCAGCTCAGCCATATTTAGGTTACAGTGTTGGAATGTTTGTGTGAAATCATACAAACAAAAAAAAGTGAGCGATAAATATGTTTTTTTTCTTAAAGACGTACTTCAATCTTTTGATGTGGGCTTCTGTGAACAATCCCTACCTTGTACATATTTTTATAACTCTTTGGACAACTTCAGTTTGGAAAAAAAAAAGTATAATTTCAAATTCACAAGCTAGTATGAACGGGGCTACAAAAAAAAAAAAAAAAAACAACAACACAGACTCAACTTTAAAAACGGATCTGCCACCTAATATTTTAGCGTTAACCAAATATAAACAAATGTTAAGGTCAAAGTAAGATTAAAGAATTTATTTGCATTGGTCGATGCTAAAATATTAGGTGTGACAGATTATTTTTTTAAAGTTGAGTCCGTGCTATATATATTTTTTCCAGTGCAGGAACAAATTGCTGCCATTTAAAACAACTCCAAGCAAGAGGTTCAACTGAACTATTCTAAAAACCAGTGGTTGTTTCACACCAGACATGCTACAGCTAGGTGCTGCTGTTTGTGCTTGCAAGTTCCCATAAATGACTGTAAATAACCATCTAAAGGCGAAGTGGTCGGCTACGGAAGCGTATTGCTATCACGCAGGAAAAAAAAAATCCGAGCGCTATCACGTTATAACGTGATACGTATCTTGTTAAAACGTGATATCACGTTTTAACAAGATACGTATCACGTTTTAACAAGATACGTATCATGTTTTAACAAGATACGTATCTAACGTGATACGTATCACGTTTTAACAAGATACGTATCACGTTTTAACAAGATA